AATTTAATTAATCAATAGAAAAAATTCTTTTTCAAAATCATTTTTCTTATTGTTAGGTAATACTAATTTTAAAGGTAGGCATTGAGGTATTTACCCGAACATTTATCTAATTAATTAAATACTTTTTTAATTAATTTAATTAATCAATAGAAAAAATTCTTTTTCAAAATCATTTTTCTCATTGTTAGGTAATACTAATTTTAAAGGTAGGCATTGAGGAACTTACCCGAACATTTATCTAATTAATTAATTTCTTTTTTTAATTAATTTAATTAATCAATTTGAAAAAATAAAAATAAATAATCACCTGGTTGAAACATGTTTTTAAAAATTATTTTTTGTTATTTTTTATTTTTTTTCGAGAAAAAAAAAATTAAATAAATTCTTGATGATATACGTATTTAAATATGATCATTTATTTTTATAATTCTTGTTTAAAAATATTTTCTCACTTTTTTCTTTTTTTATCTTTTCGAGAATTTTTTATTTTTTTTTTTTTCGCAAAAAAAAATTTAGAAACAAAAATATTAAAATTTTTGTATTGAATAATTGATTAAAAAAAAATTTTTTTTCATAATATTCATTTAAATATTAATTTATTTATTCTCTAAATTATTTAAAAATTTTATTTTAAAAAAAAAAAAATTTATTCATTTATTTAGTTTTATTTTTTATTTAAACAATACGCTTCTTTCTTTTTTTTCGAAGATTTTTTCTCGTTTCCTTTTATTAAACTATTAAATAATAAAGTTTTAAAAAAAAAAAAAAATTTTTTTTTTTTAGCTAAAATTATTTTTGTAAAATAGTTTTAAAATGATAATAAAAATGATTTAAATTTTAAATTTAGTAAATTATTTACATTAAAATTTGTTTTGCACGTGCAGCCAAAATAGTTTAAATTAATTATTCCTTTTTTTTAAAAAAAAAAAAAGATTTTTTTTTATAAATTTAAGTAAGTCATTGACTTTTAGCTTAATTAGCTTATCACTTATCACTACTAATAGCTTATCACTTATCACTACCAATAGCTTATCACTACACTTTGACAATATCAGTGTAGCTAGCCAAAATAGTTTAAATAATTTATTCTTTGTTTTGAAAATAATGTTTTTTTTTATAAATTTAAGTAAGTCATTGACTTTTAGCTTAATTAGCTTATCACTTACCACTACTAATAGCTTATCACTTATCACTACCAATAGCTTATCACTACACTTTGACAATATCAGTGTAGCTAGCCAAAATAGTCTAAATTAATTATTCTTTTAAAAAAAAAAAAAAAAAGATTTTTTTTTACAAATTTAAATAAGTCATTGACTTTTAGTTCAATTAGCTTATCACTTATCACTACTAATGGCTTATCACTATATTTTGACAATATCAGTGTAGCTATCCAAAATAGTTTAAATTAATTATTCCTTTTTTTTAAAAAAAACAAAAATTTTTTCTATAAATTTAAATAAGTCATTTACTTTTAGTTCAATTAGCTTATCACTTATCACTACTAATAGCTCATCACTACATTTTGACAATATCAGTGTGGCTAGCCAAAATAGTTTAAATAATTTATTCTTTGTTTTGAAAATAATGTTTTTTTTTTTATAAATTTAAGTAAGTCATTGACTTTTAGCTTAATTAGCTTATCACTTATCACTACAAATAGCTTATCACTATACTTTGACAATATCAGTGTAGCTATCCAAAATAGTTCAAATTAATTATTCCTTTTTTTAAAAAAAGAAAAAAAGAGATTTTTTCCTACAAATTTAAATAAGTCATTGACTTTTAGTTCAATTAACTTATCACTTATCACTACTAATGGCTTATCACTATACTTTGACAATATCAGTGTAGCTATCCAAAATAGTTTAAATTAATTATTTCTTTTTTTAAAAAAAAAAACAAAAATTTTTTCTATAAATTTAAATAAGTCATTGACTTTTAGTTCAATTAGCTTATCACTTATCACTACAAATAGCTTATCACTACACTTTGATACTATCACAATATCACATTTCTCTGACAATAAATATGATATCAATACCAAAAAAAAAAAAGTTAGTTACATTCTTATCATAGAAAATTATTTAAAAAATGACAATATTTATTGTTTAGGAAAAATTTTTGAATAATTTTAAAATTTCTGATAAATTAATTAAATGCTTTGAAAATATAAATTATTAATAATTACTTTATTAGTTACATTATATTGTTAAGTAAAATTATAAAAAAAAAATGCAAATTGCTTTAAAAAATTAAATAAAAAAAAATTTCAAATTAATTCTAAAATTCCAACTTTTTCCTTTTTTTTTTTTGTTGAATTTTAGTTTATGATAATATTATTTGATGCTAATGTTATCAGTAAAATTAATTTAAGTATATAAATTCATATTGAAGTTTTCAGATACTTTAATTTCAGTGAATTTTGGAAATTGGAATATAAATTATTGTTAAAATGAATTTTTTCCAATTTATTTTATTTAATTTTAAGATTTCAAATTTTATAACATTTTGTTATTAATAAAATTAATTTAAGTATATAAATTCATATTGAAATTTTCAAATATTTTAATTTCAGTGAATTTTGAGAATTGGAATGTAAATTATTGTTAAAATGAATTTTTTCTAATTTATTTTATTTAATTTTAAGATTTCAAATTTTATAACATTTTGTTATTAATAAAATTAATTTAAGTATATAAATTCATATTGAAATTTTCAAATATTTTAATTTCAGTGAATTTTGGAAATTGGAATATAAATTATTGTTAAAATGAATTTTTTCCAATTTATTTTATTTAATTTTAAGATTTCAAATTTTATAACATTTTGTTATTAATAAAATTAATTTAAGTATATAAATTCATATTGAAATTTTCAAATATTTTAATTTCAGTGAATTTTGAGAATTGGAATGTAAATTATTGTTAAAATGAATTTTTTCTAATTTATTTTATTTAATTTTAAGATTTAAAATTTTACAATATTATTTTAAGTTAGCAGTAAAATTAATTCAAGTATATAAATTCTTATTGAATTTTTCAAATATTTTAATTTTAGTGAATTTTGAATTAGAATTTATATATTTCAGTCTATTTTATTTAATTTAAGATTTAAAATTTAATAATACTTTTTAATATATAAAATTTAATAATCGAAAAAAATTCTGTTTTGAGTGCCTGCTAAGAATCAAATTTTAAGTTATATTATTTGATATAATCCATCAAATAGTCCTCAAAAATTAAAATTGAAATAATGAATTTAAAATATTTCTTTTCTTGGCTATTTATTTTACTCTTTGAAAAAAAAAAGAAAGTAAATAGCCAAAAAAAAAAAAAAAAAGAAAAAGGCATTCATTTAAAATAGCAAATGAAAATTTAAGAAAAAACTTTCTTGTTTTGTTTATGTTTTTTATGAAATTTTTTTAAACATTTAAAAAAAACTGCCACTCTCATAAATAATAAAAAAAATTTTTTTCATTTAATTAAATTTGTTTAAAAAAAAAAAAAAAAAGATTTCAATGAAAAATTAAAAATTAAAAAAAAAAAGAAAACCATTGAACAGGTATTATGTTCATTAATAAGCTGTATGATAATGATAAATTATTTGCTGATTATATTATCAACAAACAGACAAAAAATATTTTGTTTAATAAATTTGTCGTCAAATTTTAAAAAAAATTAAATTTCTAAAAAAAAAAAAACAATTAATTGAATAAATATTACTTTGTACATTCATTCATTCATTTTAAAAAAAAAAAAAAAATTTGAAAAATTTTAAACAACAAAATTTTCATTGTTCCTATCAAATTGTTTCTTTCGTTTTTTTTTTTCATTCAGATTGGATAATTTTAAGCAAAAAAAAATTTTTTTTTTTAAGAAATAAAAATGCAAAAAGTAAAAGTTGAAAGTGTTTTTTTTTTTAAATTATTTGTTAAGTAAACATTTTAATTTTAAAATGAAAAATTATTGTAATATGTAATTTGTTTTGTTTACTATTAATGAATGAATGAAAATTATAGCAAATTTATTATAATAATAGTAACATAATAACAATAACAATAGTACTACTACTACTAATAATAATAATAATAATGACAATAGTAATAATAATAATAATAATAATAATAATAATAATAGTAATAATAATAATAATAATAGTACTACTACTACTACTAATAATAATGGTAATAATAATAATAATGACAATAATAATAATAATAATAATAATAATAATAATAATAATACTAATAATAATAATAATAACAATAGTACTACTACTAATAATAATAATACTAATAACAATAGTGCTACTACTACTAATAATAATAATAATAATGACAATAGTACTAATAATAATAATAGTAATAATAATAATAACAATAGTACTACTACTAATAATAATAATAACAGTAGTACTAATAATAATAATAATAATAATAATAATAATAATAATAATAATAATAATAATAATAATAATAATAATAATAATAACAATAGTACTACTACTAATAATAATAATACTAATAACAATAGTGCTACTACTACTAATAATAATAATAATAATGACAATAGTACTACTACTACTACTAATAATAATAATAATAATAATAATAATACTACTACTACTACTACTAATAATAATAATAATAATAATACTACTACTAATAATGATAATAAAAATAACAATAGTACTAATAATAATAATAATAATAATAATAATAATAATAATAATAATAATAATAACAATAGTACTAATAATAATAATAATAATAATAATAATAATAATAATAATAATAATAATAATAATAATAATAATAATAATATCATCATCAAAATAATTTATAAAATATTTTTATTATATATATATATATATATATATTATTATTATTATTATCAATTTGATAACTAATCTAAAAATATTTTCATCAATAATTCTTATTTTATTTTTTTATCAATTTATTTGTAAATATAATTAAATTTCAATTTTTTTTAGCAATAATGGATGAATTTAATTCGATTAAAATAATATTTCAACAACAACAACAACAACAATTAATAAATTTACGACGTGCAGTATTGTTTGCTGTAATTTTAGCCGTAATTGCAACATTAATTTGCATATTTTCAATACCATTATTCTATAATTACTTGCAATACATGCATTCAAGCATGCAAAATGAAATTGATTTTTGCAAGCAACGAAGTCAAAATATTTGGAAAGAAATATTAAAAACACAAGTTTGTAATTTTTTTTTTTTTTTAATTTTACTTAAATTTAATATCTAACTTTTCTTAAATTAATGAATTGCAATACTACAAGATTAGAAATTTGAAGTATATTTAAAGTAAAGTGATTAGCAAATAATTAAATGAAATGAATTTTTTGAATTTGAATAAATTTTTGACAAAAGAAAAAATGAAATTTTTTTTTTTAATTTTACTTAAATTTAATATCTAACTTTTCTTAAATTAATGAATTGCATAATACAAGATTAGAAATTTGAAGTATATTTAAAGTAAAGTGATTAGCAAATAATTAAATGAAATGAATTTTTTGAATTTAAAATAAAAATTGAATTTAAAATAAAATTAAAATAAAAAAAATTTTTTTTGAATTTAAATTAAATTTTTAAGTAAACAAAAAAATGAATTTTTAATTAAAAATAAAATAATTTTTGACTGTTCTTAAATTAAATAAAAAAAAAAAACAAAAACAAAACCAAAAAAAAGAATGAAAAAAATAAGAACTGAACATAGAAGATAGAAAATATTTCATTTTGATTATTTATTTCAAATTTAATATTTACTTTGGTCAAAATTTTCTTTTATATTATTTGAGAAATTTGCAAATTTTTTTTGAAATTTTTTATGCTATAATTAATTTTAAATTAATTAAAAGTAATCTGTTTAAGAATAAAATTAAAAAAATTGATCATTATTACTTTTTTTTTATTATTTTATAATTTTTGTAATTTATAAATTAATAGATAACAATTATAAAATATTATGCATAAATACGAATTTTAATTAATGATCGATTAATAAATTGAAATGCATGCTAAGATTATCAAATTTTGATTAAATTTTGAAAAAAATTTTTCATTTTTTTTTTAAATTTTTAGTTTTTTTTTTGATTTTTTATTTTTATTCTAAAAAAAAAAATTTTATTTGCAGATTTTAGTTGGAGGTCAAAGACATAAAAGATTGGCTAGTTTTGTTGGTACCATACCTAATTATTCGTATTTGAATCAACAAATGTCATCAACAAAGCAAAGTGTATGCTGTGGATGCGGTGTGTCACCAGTAGGACCTAGAGGTTTACCTGGTCCGGATGGACAGAGCGGTCCGGACGGATTACCCGGACAACCAGGCAGAAATGGACTGAATGCACCGCCGCCGAAACAACCAGAACGTATTGTTTTCTGTTTTGAGTGTGAAAAAAGTGAACCTGGTCCTCCGGGAGAACCAGGTCGGAAAGGACTAGTTGGTAAGCCAGGTTTGCCAGGTCGTGATGGATATCCAGGTTTACCTGGGCAACCTGGTAGACAAGGACCGATGGGACCACCAGGTCCACCTGGTAAACCAGGTCTTCCTGGACCTTGTGGACTTCCCGGAAAAGTGGTCGAAATAGCTGTACCGAACGGACCACAAGGATATCCTGGTCCTAGAGGAAAGCAAGGTGTACCAGGAAATCCAGGTAAAAATGGTGTACCAGGTAGGAATGGAGCAGAAGGACCACCCGGAAATCCAGGTTGTGATGGAGCTCCTGGTCTAGCTGGAGCAACAGGTGAACCAGGTATTCGAGGACCGCAAGGATCAATCGGACAGTGTGACCATTGTCCACTACCAAGAGTAGCTATAGGATATTAAATATACTAAATCTCATTTTTTTTTCTTTTTTTTTTTTTGGATTTTATTCCAAATTATAATTTCGTTTTTTTTTTTTACTAACTTTTAATATAGCCTTCAAAAAAAAAAGTACAAATTAGCAATTTGCTTTCTGATATATTTTTTAAAAACTTTTCAATTTCAAATTAAATTCTAAAATGGATCTATTTTTAGTTAAAAAAATTTCAAAAAAATTTTTGTTTCACATTGTCATTTATATATTTGTTAGTGCTTTTCTTTTTTTTTCTTTTTTAATCTGTCAAATTTGTTAGAAATTTCAAAAGTTTGACATATTTTATCAAATAAATAATCCAATCTTGATGATTATAAATTGAACAATCATTTTTGATAATTCAATATGATAAAAAAAAAAAAAATGAAATTGTTAAATAATATAAATTAGGAAGAGACTTATTTTAGATACAATTTAAAAAAAAAAAAAAAAAAAAAAACTTCAATAATTTTAGCTAAAAATGAAAATTAATTCTTAATTTATCAATTAATCTTAGCAATAATAAAACTATAATGATATTATTTCTCAAATAAACTTTTTTTGTGTAAAAAAAAAAAAAAAGTCGTATTATTTGCAAATGTATTTCAAAATATTAATTAAATTTTCATCAGTTTATTTCCTAAAATTTAATTAGTATAGTTCATATTTCTAGTATTTTAATAAATTTTCATTATTTATTCAGATATTGTCATATTTTTTTGTTTGTTTATTGAAATATAACATCAAATATTTTCCTTTTTTTTGTTTGGTAAAATCTACATCACATCTGGTGTTTATTTCTTATTACTTTTAAATTCGAATTTAATTTCAATCCTTAAATTTAACATTGAAAGTTCACTTTCTTATTTTCTTAATAATCATCAATTTTTATACAAATGCAGCAGCACTTCCATCCATATATTCCTAAAAAAATTTTTTCAATTTCGATTAATTTAAATGATTACGACATGTTGAAATAAAAAAATAAAAAATGTTAATAAGAATAACGAATAAAAAAAAAAAAATCTTTAAATTTAGTAATTGCTTAAGAGAAATAATAAATTTAGTTGAAATTGTGAGTTTTTTTTTTTTTTGAAAATATTTCGATGCTCGTTTCTATTTTTTGCTTTATTACTCAATTAATAACAAGGTGGAAAGAAAAAAAAAAACAAAAAAACAAAAACAAAAAAACTTTTCATTTTTCATTTCTTATTTAGCAAAAGTTCAAAATAGTAATGAAAAAAATATATTATCACAGGAAGTGAAAATAATAAAAATCTTAGATAATTTGATTGGAAAAAAAAAAAAAAAAAAAGTATAAAACTTTAAGGTAAATCATTTGCTAAAAATAACCTAATGAGAAGCATTTTAGTTTGTTCAAAATTTTTTTACCACAAAACATTAAATCAAATCATAAATCGAACTATCTTCACACAATTAACGTAACCAAATGCTTGTCGTCTAATGAAATTTAATATAAAACTGAAATATTTATAAAAAGAATAGTAGAAAAATAAATTTTTCTTGCTCAGAAAAAAAAAAATCTTCATTTAGTTAACATAAAAGTTAATAAAAAACAAAAATTTACAATCTAAGCAATAGAATTATGCAAAAAAAAAAAAAAAAAAATTTGTTCCAAAAGAATCAAAGATGTACTAAAACATTTAAAATTGCAGAAATGTTTGTTTCAAAAGAATCATAAATTTACTTTAATTTTTTGAGGCAAAAAAAAAACAAACAAAATTTATCATTCATACTAGTAAATAGTAATAAATAATAAAATATGATAGAAATTAGTAAAAAGTAAAATTATGTAAGATTCATTATTAAATGATAATCAAATCCTAGTAATACATAAACAAATATAAAATAAATCATTTTAAAACAAAAAAAATTCTTCACTAATTGAAAAAAGAAGGGAGAGAGAGAGAGAGAGAGAGAGAGCATTTTGTTAGCAACGTAATCCTTGTGCGATCATCATAAATACCGCAAATGAACTACCCATTTTTGTCGAATATCGTCCAGCTTGTGCTATCATTGCACGTCCTCTTAGACCCATGCTTAAAAAATACTCATAAAATTATTTCCTTGTGATAAAAAGAAAAACATAACTTAGATTAATTGTTAGTTACGATTATCAGTCAATTTAATTTGATAATAAAATCTAAGTTACATCGATATTTTAAGATGATATGCTTATAATTGACACCTTTTTTTTTTAAATCAATTTTATGTTTTCAATTTAGCATAAATCATCACTACTATTAGCATAAGTAACATATTTTAAAAATTTTAATGTTGGAAAAATTTAACTTTTTTTAAAACAATAAACTTATTAATTCATCATACTAATCCAATAAGCATCAACAATATACTTTAAGTATGCATTCAAATTATGATTAAATAGTTAAAAAAAAAAAAGTTATTAATTAATTAATAAAAGAAGTTAGCTTCGCATTAAGCAATTAATTTAAATTCGAATTTAAATTCTAAAAAAAAGCAAGTATTTAATTTATGAAGTAATAAGAAAAGAAGTTAACTTTGCATTAAGCAATTAATTTAAATTCGAATTTAAATTCTAAAAAAAAGCAAGTATTTAATTTATGAAGTAAAAAAGTTAAGCATTAAGCAATTAATTTAAATTCGAATTTAAATTCTAAAAAAAAGCAAGTATTTAATTTATGAAGTAATAAGAAAAGAAGTAAGCTTAGCATTAAGCAATTAATTTAAATTCGAATTTAAATTCTAACCTGAATGCACTAGCAGTACCAATAAGAACACCTGATGCACAACCAATAAATACTCCCATAAGTAAGCCCATTTTCATCTTTTGCCAACATGTTATTTGTGGATGTCCAGAAACACCTTGATATTGTGGCACAGGCATTATTTCTTTGTCACCTATAAATAATGTCAACCTAAATAAACAATTTTACTTGTAAATACAACAAATAATAATAGAAATAATACAAAAAAAAAAAAAAAAAATAGAAATTAAAGTGCAAAAATTAAAGCATCAGCTTATCACTATAAATTAAGTTTTAAAAAATGAAATTAATATGAAATTGAAATTTTAAAAAGTGAAATTAATATGAAAATGAAATTTTAAAAAATGAAATTAATATGGAATTGAAATTTTAAAAAATGAAATTAATATGAAAATGAAATTGAATCAAATTTCTTCATTTTCAAACTAAGAAAAAAGAAATAAATGAAATGGAAAATAATTAACAAGCAATTAATAAAAATTTAAAAATGATCAAAAAAAAAAAAAACTTCAGCACAATGCTAATAACATCATGCAATTAACTGATTAAATTTATTTATTCACAATCATTAATAATTACACTAAAGTAGAAAATTTGATTCAATTTCAATTTCAAAACTTTTGAAACTTATAAATTTCAATCATTCTAGCAAAAATAAAATATTTGCAATACTTTTAAAATACATTGCATTCACTGTAATTCTTACTTTTTTTTTGAATACAAAAAAAAAAAAAGTTATTCGTTCATATAAAATTAGTTTAAGAAAAAAATAAATTATAATCAACTGTTGCGACAGCTATTTAAAAGTATACTAAAAATATTATCAAAACTGATTTGAAATCATTTATTTCTCTTTTCACTTTAGCCAATAATACAAATGATAATTGACAAAATTGCCAATAAAATTCATACAATCATCTCAGATTATTCAAAGTTTATCAGTTTTTTAATGAATGTATTTGTAGCACAATGAAAAAATAAAAATAAAAAATAAAATAAAAAAATACTGTAAATATTAAATTCCTAACAATTGAAGCATCAATCTTATTAATACATGGCTTCTCTTATCCATTAATTTCAAATTTCATTTATATATTATCAAAAAAAAACCAACTGCAACTATCCATTTTTCCGTTTTTTTCTTTCTCTCTCCTAATCATTATCTATTATTAATATAAATTGCAAAAATATAAATAAATAAATAAATGAATAGATAAATTCAACAACAATCAAATTTTTGCAACAATTATCGATTAACTGAAATGGAAACAATTTCAGAATTGAAATGGAAGCAATTCCAGAAAATAGAGCAATATAGGCTCCTGAATAAGTTTTCATTTATTGAATCAGCGCTAGTATTACCAATCAATCATTATGATCAATAAATTTAACCAGTTTTAAAAATACACGTTTAATTTCATTCATTTTCATTCCTAACAAAATAAAATTTTTCTTTTTTTTTTTTTTTTTTATAATAACCATTGTTGTACTTTGCAACCCCAGAAAAGTAAAAAGAGAACAGGAAAAACCTGAAAGAAATGAAAGGAGAGAGCAATTAATTGCATGAAAAAAGTACAATAAAACCATACAACTGCAATGCGAAGTTAAGACCCGCATAAAAAAAAAAAAAGAAAAAGCTTTAGATTTATAAAAGCTGAGAAGATTAATGATAAAGATAAGCGATAAACATATATCGCTTATCACGCAATTCGATAAATAAGATGTAAGCCAGAATCAGTGTCAACTATATCACTCAATTGTCCAACCTGAAAAAAAAAAAAGAAGAAATGAAATGAAATGAAATTATAATAATAAAGTAAGTATGATTGTTTGAGAATTCACATTAAAAAAGTAAGTATGATTGTTTAATTCACATTAAAAATTTAATCTTTCAGTTTTACACAAAAATTTTCTTGGCTATGAACATTTTCCTCTTCTATCAGTGGTGAAATTGCGAATATTTTTCATGAAAAAAAAAAAACTAATATTAATTTAGTCTTTCTTATCTTTATTCTAAAATATGCTAACTCTCATGCTAACATTCTAAACATACTACATACTACCCATTATCGTGATGATAATTTTAAAATCTCTTTAAAAAAGTTACTCCAAGAGCAAAAGCGGCGTCTTCAAAAGATTTCTGCATTTGTCGTCGTTTAAAAAATCCCAAATCACCACCTCGTTTTGCTGAGGAACAATCGCTAAATTCCTTTGCCAAATCTCTCAATTTTGATTTTTTATCAGATGCCTCCTCAATTTGCTTTCTATAGCCTACAAGGAAAAAAAAAAAAAGAATAAAAAGAAAACTTTATTTTTTAAAGGAAAAAATTTTCGTTAGAAATTAGAAAAATGAAATATGATAATATTAACAAATACAACGTATAATAGATGAAAATTTAGTCTAATTTCTTATCCATCTTTTGTCCAATATTTCCCTGCAAAATGTAAAACTCATAAACATAATTTGATCCGAAAAGCTAAATTTACGTATGAATTTTATACGTATTTACGTATAAAATTTACGTATTTTTCACAGCTAAGCTATGAATTATGAGAGAAAGCTAATTTTTTTCCCTTTGGAAGAGTAAAAAAAGAAAAATTGAGTCGAACCAGCCAAAATTTTCCTTGCATCTTCTTTTGATCGTGTAATAACATCTGAGCGCCACGATGAAGGACGTCTCGAACCACTATGTTTTACTAGTAAATGTGCGCAATGTACCTATAAATCACTTCTATTAATATAATTAACATATATATATTACACTTCAGTTAAGTGAAAATGCATTTTGATGAATTAAAAAAATATTTTGAGATTATTTTAAAAATAAAATTTTACTACAAAATGACCATAAAATGTATACAAAAAACATCAATTAATTTGATAAATTTTCGATAATAAATCATGCTACAGAACTATAATCCAAAAAATTTATTTAAATTCATGATTTCATTTTTTTATTCTTTTAAATTTCTCATATGAATACCATTAAGTAGTTACTGGGAAAAAGAAAAAAAAAGAAAACTTTTAAAATATACCTCATTCAAGCTTGCTTGTGCTGGATCAGCTGGTTTTGTGGGACGTTCCCATTGACTACGACCAGTGTATACATTGAAATAATAAAACCGATCTAAAATAATTGCATAAATGAATTTAATAAAGAAATCTGAAAACGGAAAAACTTTTAATTTCCTCAATTTTAAACGAATAAATTGATGAAAAAAAAAAAAAAAACATAATTTTCAAAAGTAATAATAAACAAACTATTTGAACGACTCATTCGTTTCTCCCATCCTTTTGGTAATTCTTTTACAGCTTCCTTCTCTTCTTCCTCAACTTGATCACCATCATCCGTTCGAATACGTTTTTTTTCCGGCTCAATAGACAGAGACATCGAAAGCTACACACTAATCCACAATGAATATGTGAATTTTATATAAATTATGATCTTAAAAAAAAGTAAAATAAGAACTGATAATACTGAAATCTAACAAATCCAAACACATCAAATTTTCTCAGTATGCACAAACTGATTTTTGAGTATTTTAGAAATTTGCATAATATTTATTTGAGTAATGGTATAAATTAAGTATTTGAGTAAATAATATTTGAGTAATGGTATAAATAAAGAAGTATCATTGTTCTCAATATTTATTGATAATGTACGCATATTTTTATATTTTTACCATTAAATAAATAAAGGAATCACCCGTGAACAATTAAGAACATACGAAATACAACTTTATATGAATATTTTCTATATAAAATTTACGCAAATATCAAACAAACAAGTTTGCTTGGAATTGTAACTGTCAGTATCAAAAAATAAAAAAACAACAAAACTAGAAAGAAAACTAAAAGTACAAATAAAGGCAAAAATGTAGAATGACAACTACGATGCTGCATAGCATAATAAAGTTTCAATTAACCATACTCTTCCTCTAATTTTTCCATTTTAACCAATCGTCTCATATCAAATTTTCGTAAATTTAATGATACATATGCACCTTCCAGCAATTTTTCAGCATAACTTCGTCCGACAGCTAAGGAATGCTGCATTCCACGATTCCCAAACCCGCATAAGAAATGTAAATTTTGATAAAGTAAATGCTCTCCGATAACAGGTGAATTATCAAATGTATTCACATCTTCATAACCTGCCCAAGCATTTTTAATCTGAAAATGTCAAGCATAATTTTTCTGTTTGTAATAGAGAAAAAATATTTTGTTTTAGCTTAATTATTACAATATAATTAATGAATATCTCATTTTTCTCGAGAAAAAGCTGTCTCTATTTTGAAACAGAAAAAATGTAAGATAAGGATTAAAATTTCGATAGTTATCTTCATTAAACGATAATCAATATTAGAGATAATAAAGAGTCAGAATTTCATTCAGCTTCACATTGATGCTTTGTATTAACTGTGCTAGTGATCAAAGGGTTCATTAATATAAAAACTGTCGTGTTTCTCGATAAAACTTACTTTTAAATTTCTAAATGCTGGAATCCTTTTCACTAGAGTTGGCCAAATATCATTATAAAAGTAGTTGTAATCTACTTCCAAATTTGAGTGGTCCATTTTTTCATCTTCTTCCTACAAAAATTATAGTTCTAAATACAAAAAAAATGAACAATAATTTATACATTTCACAATTCATTCAAATTTCTCACCTTATTCGGGATTTTCCCACAAATGAATGTATTACCAACTTCTTCCAGCAAACAATAAACACCACTGGGATCCACAAGAGCCGGCATATCTAAGGCAGGAACATCAGGTGCATGTACAACAAACATCATACGCTTCCGTGCAACAACCGGTATTTTAACAGCCAATAAATCTTGTCCTTTCCCTAAAAAATTCAAAATTCTTCTTCTAAATTACAAATTTCACACTTAACTGAACTTCAAAACTTCGCATTAAAAAAATATTACATTTACGAGTAAAACAAATATCTCACCAATTCTTGCCATTTCGGCAATACGACCAGACCAAGCACCAGCAGCAACAACAATATGATTAGATCGTACGATTCTTGCAGAAGCATCTGTCATTTGCGGCCGAATCTATAAATATATATGTAAATTTTTTTTTTTTTTTGCTGCAAGAACATATATAAAATATAATAAAAACTTAAAAAATAAATCTATATGCCTACAAAAGCTCCGCGGATATGCTTATTACGCCATACTGCTTCATCAGCATCATCTGCAATACCATATATTTCTGTAGCACCATATCTTTGGCCAAAATAAAAACCTAAAAATTAAATATTCATATTAAAAAAAAAAAAAAACTCATCCAAACTATATATCAGTGAAGGCAAACCAAAAATATATTAATTTTATATGGAGCTATTTAGCAATATAAGCGCTACAAAATCAATTTGGATATCTTATGATACAGAATAAAATATAACACAGGATGCCGATCACTTAACTTTTCATGTATTCTGTTAACTTGAAAAGGAAAAGGCAAAAGCAATAAAGGAATTACTTAAAAATTCAAACAGTGTCTGTAAGATAAAACACTAAAAAGATAAAACTTTGAGAGAATTTGCAAGTTTTACTGGAGTAAACAAAGTATTTGTTATTGAGTATAGCGTACCCTCAATTACCAAACAGTTGTTTTTAGTTCGCTTAAAAATTAAAAAAAAAAAAAACACTTAAAAATGGACAATATGGCAATCTGTCTCTTTTGGAGATTAAGGCAAAACATTGGCAATTTCCTATTTAAAATTTTTTGTAAAAATAACCACTATTTAGAATAATGAAGACTCGAATGCTTCTTCCCAAATACATATACGCAAAAGTTAGAAAGTTCTAAAAGCATTTGTTACATACCTTCCACCTCTCCTTTAAGATACTGCACACCCAAAGTAAGATTCTTTTCCCGTATAGCTGATAATAGTTGCCAAGAATCGATTGTACCTTCATTTTCCAAACCTATAAAATCTCATATATTATACTTATTTTCTATCATGCTCAACATCAGAATGAGCTAATAAAAGCAAACTTACCGTATGAGCCGAGTAATACATCATCAAAATTGATAAAAGGAAATTTCGCACATAACTTATTACGGTTTAGCAAATCAATTCGGGCACCATTTTGCCTAAAAATTTACCGAAATAATTTTATCAATACTTTCCTCAATTTTTTCTTCTTGTTGAACTTTTCTCTATAATGAGTTTTTTCAAAAATCTCATAAAACTTTATTAACATGTAAATGAGTAATGTCATAAGTTGTAGACTGATTACGTTCTATTCTACCAAATTAGCTATATAATTTTTGAAATCTGATCCATATTTGTGGTATCAAGAAATTATGAAATACATTAAATATAGTTAGCTCAAATTTCTAAGGCAAGATAAAGTGGCGAGAAGAATGCTGCATGCAAAATGAATATGGGATGAATCTAAGAATCTAATTCAGAAGTTTACTTAGTGGTACAATTCCAGTTCCACTAAGTAATCTTTTGATTTCAGCCGATCAGTCGTCGTTATGAAAATATTTCCAATAATTTAAATCCAGTTAAACAATTAGACCAACGTTTGCACTTTCCAATTCCGCTTCAATCGATCCACTTCTTCGGGTGTGCGAGCCAAATACATGAAACCCATCGGTAAAAAATTTATATCAGGAGGATCGTTGTCTAAAAACATTTATTATAAATTATAAAACACTAATTAATTTCAGTATATCAACAGCAAAAAAAGGTAAGTAAATAATTCGATGATTTAACTATGCTTATGGAAGAATTATTCATAAGAATTTTACGAAGGAACTAACTGAAATTCTAGAATTCTAGAATGTAAATTTACCTAAAATACGCAAATGTTCGCCAGCATGACGAAGATATTCAGCGGCAAAAGCTGACATTGTAACATGTTCAGGGACTGAAAATTGCTGTGAGATACCACCACATGTTAACATTGAAGCGCACTGCGCAAACTGCAATTAAACATCACATTTAAAAGAGGTAGAAAAACTTGGTAAAGAAATAAATTTCCAACTTTCATATTCTTTAACTATTAAAGAGACTAATAACACGATTTATCATGTTATTTAAAGCAGTTATGGTTTGAAGATAATATTCGAAAACTCTAAAATTTATGTCGCATTACGGTTTGAAATAAAATTACATTTAGGAAAGATTTTTCTTTTAGTTTTCTTATATCAGTCTAGTTATTCATCATGATATCCTGTTTTGTTGGAAAATGCTCGCTTTTACATTATATTGAAAAAGCTAACAAATCAATGAGATTAAAAAATAAAAGTTTGAAACTATTGCCTTATCGTTATTTTCTACAACTGTCACTTTGTAGTCTTCGTCACGAAACGCTTGCTTTAACCAGTATGCAACAGATGATCCTATCAATCCACCTCCAATGATTAATACCTAAAAAATATCAATTTAGGTTTGTGAATATGAATGCTTTATCCTTCACGGTAAACATCGAATAAAATAATTTAAGTGTATTCATTTTAAAATTTAAATACGTCAACTACACTCAGAACTTTATCGCAGAAACATGTTTAAGTATGAATAAGATTCATCAGCTTCTATTAACTTCTATTAATATCAAGGCAAATTTCTCCTCAAATAATCCAACTTCTGAAAACAAAACAGATGCTCTAAAGACAATGCAAATAATAACCATAATTAGCATCTAATTACCTGAGTTTCGAATGGGAACAACTCGAGATCCATTGTGTGTCGTTTGATGTGTGCAATCGCATTATTCCTCTGATAAGGATCCATTCTGGCCTAAATTTATGTATTTGTCAAATATAACGCGATTTAATAGAAATTTACAAATACATTTCTGATTATATAAGAAGCTGTTACGATTTAATAATATGTCAACAAAAACTGAAGTAAAGAAGTTACAAAGGAAAGTAAAAACAATTCTGTTATGACGACGGCTGAAAAAAAGGGAAACATTAGTTCTTGCGAGAAATGTGTTTACACTTTTAGTGACATAAACTGAAAAACAACTTAAAATAATTAAATCAATAAGAAAAAAGAAAAACAATGCCATATAAAATATTACTTCTTTCCACCGCCTTTTCCATCGTTTTACATCATACTTCAAAGCATACCACATCCGCTTCAAAACATCTTCCCCAGGTTCGAAATGTCTTTCATTCTCGAAGTCTAAATTCAGCAGTATAGTGTTCACAAAAATAAAGCAAATAAAAAACGACATTCAAAATAAGGATAAAATAAAATAACGAATCAGTCCTCAGTCTATCTCTTTCTTCCTTCTTCAATAATTAAGAAATCCACAAGCTATTACATACCGAGAATTTGTGAAGGTTTATTTCGATAAGCTATGTAATAGGATGATGAGAAAACAGTAAAACATTAAAGTGAAATGAAGTCGATAAACAAGAAAAAAGAACCCTTTGAAAAAACTTTAAAAAAAGGACTCAAGTCATTCTCAAAAATTATATTCAAATCCGCAATATTAAGTTATATTAAACTTGAACTTACTCACTTTGCCATCTAGTTAAGGATGTTGTATGAAAGAACGTCGCATTTACCCTAAATAATGAATGTTGATGAAAACCTGTCAGAATATTTTTTGCCGTCCACATTTCTGCAAAAAAAAAAAATTCATAACGTCAACAAAATTCATATCAAATTATGATGCGAAATTATGAAAATTTAGTACAAACTCTTACCATGATGGTAGCGACAAATGTTAATGTAGAAAACAATATAAAACAGAAAAAAAAATTTTTTCATTAAGCTATTATAAGCTATAATGAAGAGTTTTAATTAAAAAGAAGTATTAGTTAATTTTGAAATTCGTTTCATTAAATTAAATTTATAAACTATTCTTTTGAGATTCTTTAACTTCTTAACTTAAATTTATAAGCTGTTCTGATAGCAAATTACCCCAACACTTTTCTTAATATTATCTCACAAAGAATTGATGGAATTAGTCAAGTACTGACATAAATAACTTTTAATTTCTTCCATTTCCAACTTTCTCAAATGCTATTTATACAAATATTTTATTTACCCTAATCAAAATCATTTAAACAGAAATCTTACAATCCATAAATAATCCAATCCATAAATAAAAGCAAGCAGAATCAAATATTATTTACTAATTACAGGGATAAAAATTTTATAGCATTTCTTCATATATTTACTTAGAATTTTTTAAAAATTATTCCCAAAAGAAGAAAAATACATTAATTTAACTAATTTATATTTATTCCTACAAACTTGTAATCAGATTACTCTCAATCACTGTTATAATTAATCACCGTTGACTTTCTAACACTCTCTCAATCTTTTCATCTTCTCAATTAGAGTCATATACTACCTTCATGTTCTCTAGTATTCTATAATTATCCGCTAATTGTAAACTATCTCGTAAATCTCAGCAACCCCTAAATTCTCTCAAAATATTGTATTCTATTGTACAACATTCTACCGTACAACAACCTCTCTTCAAAAACCATTATATTTCCCACCCTTCGTCTGTTGCATAGGAAATTACAGTGTAGCATTTTTGTCGTATGCTACAAACTATGAAATGTAATGATGGGAAATTGTGTGATGAATGGCGGTAATGTCGTATAACAAATTGTGATTGTCACTCTTTTCTGGGAATCATGCAGAGAATTCTGCTCTCCTTTTCTTTAAATTCAAAGAAATATGAAGTTTTTGAAATCTTGCAAATAACTTCTTTTTATTTAATTTACTTAAAATAGGTTTAATTATTTAACCAATAAAATTATGAAAATTTGTTTGTCATCACAATATGCTGTAAGGAATTGTGTTTGTTTTTTGACTAATTATCCTATTATTGACATCTTCAGTATAACTCTAAACAACTGATGATTACTACTCTAAAGTATTAGTAGTTGATAATATTGTTTGAACATAAAAGTTGTTTTAAAAAAAAAGATCTTGATACTTGAAATTTCGAAATTTAAAATAGTTGAAATTCTTGAAGCAACGAACTACTTTGACTTCTTTTTCAGAGCGACATTGTCGATGTCATCCAATATTAACTGTATTTGCATTCAGATGAGGAAAAAAAAAGCGAAGTACCATAGAAGAATAAATTTCGATTGATAAGTAAACTTTTTTTTTTTTAATTTTCTCAGACACTTTATCATTTACAGTTGTCATATTTTCAAAGAAAAAGTAGTTTATCGCATCAAATTATTGGAATTTTAATGTCACTCTTCTTTGTTTCAAATATTTCAAAAAAAAAAAAAAGAAAGAAATTAATATTGCAAAATAATTTCATAAATCAACAATTTGAATTTTGTAATTCTTTATAATATAACGAAGCGTGTATAAAGATTTATACAACGAAATTACGAATATTTGGTGATTACTTCGGAACCACTACCTCGGACCAAAAGAACTCGTCGTAGGTTATGCGTTAGCACATTCAAATATTCCATATAATTGGGAAGAGCAGATTCTTTTTTTGGTGGTTCTGGAAGATTTAGTACTACCAGAGCACTTGCACTAGACTTCTCGAATATTTTTCCATTCAAACGTACAGCCGAATGAACTTCACGTATTACACGCTAAAAGTTGAATGATACGATTGATTTATAAAAATCTGAGCATTTGTGAATGTAATTATAATTTTAATTATTGAATTAATTAAATTTTCATGTTGTTTTAAATAATTCCAAGGAGAAAAAAAAAGAAAGTTCTTCAACATGAAAAGTTTTCAAAAAAGAAAAAAAACCTCATTTGGTAGATGTTCCTTTAGTTGATCGGATGACTTAATTAATACTTCTCGATTGATAGTGTTACTTACTTCTGATTCAAATGAACTGAATGTAAACTTCCTCTCACATTTAAATTTTCCTCCACATTTGTCATTTTCTAGATCATTATTTGAATGTACGCTGAAAAAATAAAATGTATTAAAGCTCAAAAGTTGAAGTTTCAAAAAGTTGAAAGTTGAAACTAATGAAACTATTAGTATAGAATCACTTAAATTACTATCGTAGAGGAAATTAAAATTGAAAACATTCATGAAATTTCTTTGTTCTCTTCTTTTCTTTTCTTTTTTTTATGGGAGAAATGAAATTTCAATAGGAAATCATTTCTTTTTTTAGGAACAATAAAAAAAATGAAAAAAAAAAAAAAAACAAACATTCGAAATGGATTGAGCTGTGGAAGGTCTGTCGGATACGAATTACTTTTGAAATTATCTGCCGTTTGTTTATTTCTTTTGGTTTCTGATTCCATTTGAATAGTTTGACAAAGAACTTTAAGTTCATTGTCTACAAAATAAGAAAGAGAACATTAGAGTTTTTTTTTTTTTCTGAATTCAAGAAAAAAGGTATTTTTAATGAGAAAAACATAGCAAGATTTCAAATGACAATAAAATCAATAATTAAAATTAATTTACTTTGTTTGTCATTTTCGCGTTGTTTTCGATTTTGATCAAGAATAACTTGAACCTAGAAATGTAATTTTAATTAATTTTAATTCTTTCATTCTTTTTTTTCTTTCTATTTTTGCCGTATTTTATTCTAATGATTTAATGTTATCACCTGGTGCATCATATTGATTTAATTAATGATCATAGAGCAAAAATAAAAGTGGTAATTATTAATTACAAATTTAACTGATGAAAAATACAATATTAGTTTTAATTAGATAGAGAGATAGAGAAATAGAAATAAATATTCGCTTAACAAAAATTAATTTTAATAAAGCAAAAATAATTTTATTCAAATTTTTTCATAGCATACCTTATTTGAGCATTATTAATAATCCTAAATACGAAATTTGTAAATTTTTGATAGGTAGCATAAAATCAATTATTAAATTATTTATAATTTGTGAACGAATATTAGCTGTTCACTTTATGGCATAGTTTGTTTGAATAAATTAAAATTTTCAATATAAACACATTTAAATGTATTATATTCTAATATATTTTCGTTACCAACAAATCAGAATGAAATTATTTTAAAAATTTTTTTTTTTGTTGAGGTAAAAAATCAGAATGAAATTATTTTAAAAATTTCTATGATAAGCAATATAATACCATTGAACAACGTTTTTTTCTCGACAAACTTGATGTATCATTTTGTAATGATCGTTGTATTTCATATGCTGATATATCTGGAGTTGCAAATTCTTCTAGCTAAAGTGAATAATTGTAAAATAAATGAATTTACAAAATAGTTTAAAAAAAAAATTTTTTTTTTCCTCTTCTGAAATTCATTGCAATTATTTCTAAAGAATGAAAAGATTTTTTGAAATTTGTTTATAAAAAGAAAAAGTAAACAAATAGGTTATAATTTTATTAAACGAATAAGTTAACTGAATGAGTAATAACTTATTCTAGTTATTATTAAGTAAGAAATTATTTAAATAGTTTATTATGTGAAGAATTTTTCTCTTCTTCATTTCTTCTATTTATTCAATTTTATTCATTTTCCTTTTTTTTTTTTTTAATTTTCATCTAATTAACTTTTAATCAAATAAATATTTGACATTGAATTAATTCTATTTTGCAATATTTACAAAAAAAAAAATTTAATAAATTAAAAACATGCATATAAATTAGCATTGATGCGCATTTCGTATAAAAATTTCTCCATATCATGTCGTAATTGTGATTTATTATCATCATGTCCAACAACAACAAATATTCTTAGGTGACAATTGCGCCAAACCTGAAAATGATAATAGTAGTATGAAAGTATTATTTGTTTACAACTAGACTATATTATGAATTTTTTCTTTTATAATCGAGAGTTAATTCAAGAATGATTTTTTATGATAAAAATCAAATAAGCAATTAATACCTTATGTTGTTTGAGTAAAAATGAAATAAGAAGTAATAAGCCACCATCATGAAGGATCCACCACATGTCAATATTTCCAGCCATTCTGTATTCATTTTCCGGAAAATATGGAATACCTTTTAGTACAAGTAAGCACATATCTTGCATTGCACCATGTTGAAGGCGATCTATAATTTAAAAATTAATCTTTTCAAAATTAAAGTTTAATTTTTTTTTTTTTTTTTTAGACTAAAAATGTATTTTTCAACTTCATAATTTATAAATGTTTTTTTTTTTTTTTTTTTTTTTTAAA